CTCTGCGTCCTTGACAATTAAGTATCTAAGGTTCATGGCCCCTGAGTTGTGATGCGCAATGATTTACGTAGTAATAGGCACTTGGTTATTTCAAAATTGTGAATTGTGGCAGCGTGGGCGCTTCACAACTGTGCTTGCTCCAGGCGGCGAGTTTACAATGTCCAATGTCAGGCGCACAAACTTTGCATCCTTCCCGGCTCGGTTGAGGTGCGCACCGAGAGGCGAAGCATCAAAACCGAATGAGAGAGCTAGCGATGCGAGCAGGGCCGGGTAACCCTTTCGCGTTCCACTCTTAAAAGTGAAACACAAACACCCTCCGTGCTTTCTTTTGTTTTTCATCGGCTGTTCTTCGCCGGTACAACACCACAAGACGGACGCTACTGGTGTCTTTTCAAGTGCTAAGTGGGCTGGTGAAAACGGCTGAGACGTTTGTTTATTTCAAACTTGGATCTTTCACTGGCAAACTACAGGGGCCTCGAGAACAGAGAGCACCCGAGTACTGATATCAAGTGTCAACACCTGAAAACTGTGGCGTAAATCATGGAGGGGGGGGGGGCATCTTTTTCAGGCATCCCCTCTCGAGGTTTAGCATTCGAAGATCATATTTTAATTGCTTGACCGTTAAGTTTCGCTCCGAAAAACCAACTCCAAAATCTGGAGTCTTTTCAAAGATCAGAAACGAAGTGAGACAGCGAAATCTGCTTTTCGTTTCAAAAGGTACTGAGAACACGAGCTTGCTGAAATGCTTTGGGTTACTTCTGACTTGTTGGAAATGTTCATCAGGCTGAGATTTAAAAATGCAAAGTGAGCAATGAATCTCGGTCATATACCATTATTTATTTATGTCGATGATTTTTTGGATGTCTGACAAAGAAATCCACAGTGACTGTGTTATATAAACAGTAATAACCGATGAACTTTGACATTCTTCGCAAGAAAGATTTGACAGGTGAACAGTGGGCCGGAGGTTATGTCTAACCAGTATACATCATGATGATTGAGCTGAAGTTAAAGAGCTGTGACTTCACACGTTACAACGAAAAAGTCTGAGTTTTTTCACTGAATGGTTTATCACGAATGGCCCATTAGCTGTATATTTGCTAGAAATTGGCTGCTCAGTGCTGTTGCGCTATGTTCCTTGGCCTGGTGCCGAGGCTCATGCTCGTTTTCTTTATTAGATAACATAATTTGAATTTTACATGATTAAAAATAAAAACTATTTACAAAAAGCGAAATGGCCGTCATTGACAGATGTGTGTCCGCTCTTGTGGTTCTACCAGTTTAATCATAATCATCATCATCACCCTGACTTCGTGCACTGCAGGATTGATTGATTGGTATGTGGGGTTTAACGTCCAAAAACCACCATATTAATATGAGAGACGCCGTAGTGAAGGGCTCCGGAAATTTCGACCACCTGGGGTTCTTTAACGTGCACCCAAATCTGAGCACACGGGCCTAAAACATTTCCGCCTCCATTGGAAATACAGCCGCTGCAGCCGGGATTCGATCCCGCGACTTGTGGATCAGCAGCCGAGCACCTTAGCCACCAGACCACCGCGGCGGGGCATCCACTGCAGGACAAAGGCCTCTCCCACGTTCCGCCAGTCTCCTTTAGGGTACAGCCAACCAACTCGATTTGGTCATGTGGCGCCACGCAAATGACATTAAATCTTAAGGCATTAGGAAGTTAATGGCATCTCCTGTGCTCATGTGGCATGGTATAACGCTACAGAGGTTTAAAAAAGCAGTGCATCCGCCTGCACTTTTCACTTGCCTGTACAAGGGGATATGGCAACACAGTCAAACACCTTGCTCACAGACTGTGCGACTTGCCCAGTACCCCTAAATGAATGAATAAATAAATATTTTTAGGCAGTCACATAAATCCGGAAGAACAACAAGGGGCAACACACATCTGGCGATGACGGCAGTTTTGCTTTTTCTAAATTATTGATTGATTGATTGATTGATTTATATGTGGGGCTTATCGTCCCAAAATCATTATGAAACACGTCGTAGTGGAGGGCTCCGGAAATTTCGACCACCTGGGGTTCTTTAACGTGGACCCAAATTTGAGCACACAGGCCCACGGCATTTACGCCTCCATCAAAAATGCCGCCGCCACAGCCGGGATTCGATCCCGCGACCTGCGGGTCAGCAGCCGAGTACCATAGTCACCAGACCACCACGGCGGCGCTGCTTTTTGTAAATAGTTAACCCACCAAGGAGGATCGGCCATGAGTCGCGCGGCAGTGGGATTCTGAAAAAAAAAAAGGGAGGGGGGGGAGTGAAGGGATGCCTAAAAAGGCTTCGTTTGAGTAAACGAAAATATTAGTTGTGGAAAAAATTAGAATAAAACGCTTGAAATAAATTAATAAGAAAATAAGTAATAAGTTTCTTTATTCTCGTATATAATTATATAGCGCTCTATATATGCCCCTGTTGCAAATCGAGTGGTAAAATAGGAAGTAACTTTTTAAATGCGAAGCATTTATACGCGAACTTCGGCGACTTTGAGCTTATCTATATATGTATTTAGCCGCTCACGTTAGCGTGATCTCGTGGTCACCCCCTTAACTTCGCGTGAACCAAAATTAGCATGGGAAGGTAAGATGTTTTGACGAATATGACACACTCGTCAAGACATGAGTAATGTCACAATCCCGTCGCGTACGTCATCAAACACTTCCCACCAAACAGTGGCAGATACCCACGGGCGGGTATGCGCCGCTGGTATGGGGGTATGTGCCACAGGTGATTGACACTTAGTATCTATCAGGAACGACGAGAACACTCATGGGCAATTTTGACTTGCGGGCGTTAAGAAATACCCAATATCGGTAGCGTCGACCCGACGAATGCAAAGAATGATTGCCAGGGTACCAGCTGGAATTGAACCCAAGCATTCTGCGTGGCAATGAAGCATTTTACCACAGAGCTACGCCAGGTCTCGGAACTACTTTTCAAATAGACGCTAATCTTCGTGAAACGGCAAAAGTGGTTTCAGTGCTGCCTATCCAATTTTATAAACATTACACATGTACCATTTTGATACAGCCGTCACGTCAGGTTAACGTCAGATGTGGTTAGTTGCCATGTGGGCTGAAGTTCATTTATGTAGCAGTGTCGAGGGCCAGAATATTCGCGAGCATCAGCGCTTCATATTAGCTTCTGGTGTTGCTAATACGCATGTTTAAGTAGACATCGTTGCGCAAGTGCAAACAACTGTATACAAACATCTGCAACTCTTCAACATATGTCTGTGCGTGAAACATTTGTACATATATTTAGCGTCATTTCATAGCGTGTCACTCAATAAAAGAAATTGCAACACGGTCACCTTCCCTCCGCACGTTTCGCATAACGTAGATTCCCAGGTACGTGAGATCCACCGAATTTTTTTCGTTACCAAATCGCCTTGTTGGAAGGCCTCTTTTTTCGCAAAAAGCACTCAAGCTAGATTTCATCCATGCTTCTTAAGCGCAAACACCAGAAACTAGAGACGAACGATTGCGACACACAATTGTTGCAAGTCCGCCGTGGCGTAGCAGCAATTAATGTGCTCTGCTGCTGACCCGCAGGTCGCGAGTTCGAACTCAGCCGTGGCAGTCGCATTTTTGATGGAAATGAAACGGTGTAGGGATACTGTGTGATGTCAATGCTCGGTAAATAACACCAGATGGTCAAATTTTCCGGAGCCTTCCACTCATATGCAGGTCTTGGTTTTGAAACGTGAAACTTCACCTATTTAATTAGTACAATTGTCACAATTCTTAGTCTTTGGTCTCTGATGTTTTCGATAAACAAACATTTAAATAACCAACTATAGCCCGGGCATGCACATTGCTAGATTATGTCGTAAAAAAATTCGCACAATCCTGACGTTGGAAATATCATCAGCGAAGGCGACGATCCAACGGCAGAAAACATTCAGGAGATGAAAAAAAAAAGTCTGAAGTCGTACTTTGATGAGCAATGCACGTGAGTGAAAAATAAGCTCAAGTTCTTTAGATCGCATTACTTACTCGCAAATCTCCTTGCAATTATTAGAATTGAGTCATATTCTGATTTAAAGTTCGATCATTAGGACGCTCCTAATAAGAACTGCCTGGATGTAACACCGCCAAGCAACCGATTTGGCTGCGTGTAATAGTGGGTAGGCGATAATCGTGACGTTAAATTGTGCCATTTGGTGTTGCTTAGCTTGCGCCTACATGGAAATACGCAACTGTTTTTCTTCATGTTTATCTCAATGTTCACTCATACAAATGCAACTACATGCCACAACCAGCAGTCTATCCGGATACCTCGTGTCCATCACATTCACCATGACGTCAAAGGCATTAGGCCACTGCGGCAGGCAGCTATTGGTTCTGTACGTACACCATCGGAGGCTGGACACCTTTCGCATTGCTTATGTTTTGAGAGCTTTCTGGATCTAATGAATCAAACATAATGATGGCTCTGCCAATGCTATCCATTCGTCTTACGCATCATAAAATGTTCATTACCAAGCTGCACATTCAAGCCCCGCACATTGGTATCATCAGCCACGCGCGATTTTACCGCCAACGGCCAGAGAGTATTCTTCGACGGTGCCGTTCCGTCGAGAGAGACGTGCGAACAACCGCAGTATTGCGCGCTGTCAACCAGATCGCATTGTTAGCTCAACGTCTTCCTGCCGTAGCCCAGGGCTGCAGGAACCGGCGGGCTTCGTGTCCTGCGTCTACGGTGGGTGGTTTCGGGCGGACCTTTCGGACAGCGCAAGTAAGGTGCGAAACCGCGAGGACCGCGCGAGGAGGGTGATGACCCAGATCTGCTCCCCTCCGCCTGTCAGGACAAAAAAACACGGTCACGACTCCCTCACGGCCGCAGTATATAAGAACGGCCCGCGGCATGTGGCGGTAGCAGTGGCACGGTGTTGAAGAAGTGCGCTCAGGGTCGGCACAGCGAGGTCTTCGCCAGGGCAACGACGACAGCCGGCCACCAGCAGCGCCATGAGGCCCGCAGTAGTGCTCGCGCTCCTGCTGGTAGCCTGTCTGCTTTTGGAGGCTGAAGCCAGCAAGAAGAAGCTAAAGAAGCTCATCCTGCTCAAGAAGCTCATGAAGAAAGGGAAAATCATCATCCCACTGCCCATACCTGTGAAGTGAGTACAGCGGCCTTCGGTACGAGGCGACGACCGGCGCCGAGCGCAGCCGTTTCCTCACACGGACGTGTTCGGTGCAGCGTCGTCGTCTTTGTTTCGAACGGCCGCGAACTAATGCGAGAGCCTATATTTATGACGTGGGGGGAATGCATGCGTCTGCGGGGACAATGCTGTGTGCACATTTCGAAGGAACGGCTTTGTCATTGCTGGCAACTGTTGAGCAGAGGATGTATATTTTTGTCCTTGTCCATCATTTCTTCTTCACGAAAAAAAATCTCTGGACTCAGTGAATTACGGTGCGAATGTTTTTGCATGTCGTGGTTAGCACCCTTTTATTGTTCCAACGCTATTAATGCAGAGCTAACAGAGATTAAGTAGATATGTTGCAAAAACACGTAAGCTTATGCATGAAAGTGATTCAAAAGAACGTCGCAGTAGTTGAGATAATGAGAAATGAATTGGTGCGTAGGCTATTGTAATCAGTAGACTCGGGCATGTACCAGAATTGTTTTTTAAGCTAGCGCAATTTTTTCGTCATTCACTAGTATTTTAACTAACGAACCAATATTGCACATTTAGCATTAGACCAACGACAAAAAATTGTTACATTTTGAAAAGCTTGGGGACATTTGTCCAAATTTTCTTCCATAGAAACACAGTGGTCCTTAGGTGTCAGAAGACTGACACAGCAGCAACAGGATGCAGTTCCTGCTTATACTACTGCAGTTGAAGGTCACCTCTTGAGAAATTACCATGTCATGATGGAAATATGACAAATGTCACGCAAATGTCACGACGACGACCCCTAAGCGATAACAATTGCGATATGTATATTCACGCATAAGTGCGCCGCATTCGATCCGTTGTCTCTAGACCCGAATGTTTCCATCGATGGTGCCTGCCAAGACAGTTTCCCATCGCGTCCTCCGACTAGGGGGCTGTGCTGGTAGCGCAACTTTACCTGTTGCCCACGGCAAGAGCGGAACAAAGCAATTCGAAGTGAACTAATTAGGTAGGAGATGCTTGCTAAAGGCACCCGAACTGTAGTATATCCGAGAAGTCGAAGATCCTCTCGTTGGGCTTTGTGTGGCCCTGACGTGTGCGTTCTGTTACAGAAAAGGGGGCGGTGGAGGCGCCATGATGCACCTCAAGTCTCTACTCGGGAGCCTTGGAGGCGGCGGTGGTGGCGGCGGTGGTCATGGAGGAGGAGGCGGCGGTCATGGAGGCGGCGGCGGAGGTCACGGCGGAGGCATGACCGAGGTGTGGAAGGTCGAGCTCATCAGCAGTGGTGGCGGAGGTCATGGCGGCGGCGGCGGTGGACACGGAGGAGGGGGCGGTGGTCATGGCGGGGGCGGCTGGATGGATGGTGGCGGCGGCGGCGGCGGATGGGACATGGGAGGGGGCGGTGGAGGAGGTTGGTGAAACAAGAAGCCACAACCGGAATGCACAGGATGACCGCGACGGTGCCTCGCACATTCAAACCTCATCATCACTCTGCACCGTCGCGGCAGAGATAGCCTCTAGCAACGTCAAGTATTGGCGGGACGACCTGCAACGGACACTATCTTTCGGATTGTGTGCAATTATGGTACGACATCAGGAGCGCCTTTTTGCCGCACCTCACACGTTCTTAAGCTGCGAGGAGTGCGTCCCTAGAATCAAGACTTCGGAAAAAAGTGAGGTTGAGTATGCGAACATAGTCATTGATTTAGATGGAGCCCGACTCCAGTCCACGACCAAAGAAACGTCTGGAAGGCTGAGCGTAAGAGAATAACAGTGTCGGTCGAGTAGGAAAGCACTTGATAATGTATATCATGGCGCACCTTAATTAACGAGCCCGACGCTTATGACGACATCCACGAATGAAGTGCATATTGTCGGCGTAGTACGCGTTTTTCTCATTGATAAAATGAGGAACCTAATGAAAGAACACATGAAAATTTAGTGGCATAATTAAAACTCTAACGAATTTTGCCATTTATAAATACAAAAGTAAAGTTTTAGATGCGGGAGATTGTGATGGTGAGAAATGGTCTAGCCTGTTTTAGGGCAACCAAAATGTGCAATGTGGGTCGGACGGAGCTATTCCCGCAAAAGCACAGTGGAATCAAACGAGTGAAGTCCTTGCAAGACTTGATCAAATAGTCGCGCACATATGAGCCATGTGCAGTGATTTGTAAAATACTTTTATCATCATAGACATTGCTGTTCCTGTTCATGGAGTATGTTCACAAATGTGTTTTGTACCGTACACGAAAAAAAAAGACATTTTATTCCAAGAAATGAGGACTCTGTTTACTGTAGACTGAACATCGACACGGTAAACAATCACCTCAATACCATCTAGGAAACAACGCGGTACGAAGCTGTGATAATGAAGCTTCCCGACAACGAATAACGTTCTGGTGAATCACTGTTGCGATAACCTGTGGCAAAGACAGCAAGCAAAGAGGTCAAGCACAGTTACGTCTAATTCTAAAACTTATAGTGAGGCATTTTACAAACTGCGCAAGACACCACAAGTAATGAACCCAGTTCGTTGTGGTTGCACTGGACGAGCGTGGTGACGTACCTACGATACCCATATACCGCTGCACCTTTTACACGGCGCACGCACTCATAACCATATTTGAAGCTCCAGACATGTCAGACCGCACCAAACCTCACGAATTTCATGGTCCTATGTAGCCCGAGAAAGAAAAGACCAAACTCTCTGCCTCCTGCCAATCGCCCCCGATGTGGTTCTGAAAGTACGAAATTATGCTGGATTTCTTCGTCAGGATCCCTATCCAAGATATTATTAAGATCTCAAATACACAAACTATACATTCTTCTACTCTTTTAACTCCCTGCATTGAAGTGTTCACATATAATAAACAAGCTTGGTTACAATCATTAGCCCCATGAATCCAAAAGCTGCAGCTGTATACTGAGCTACCATGACAGACAGTGTCCTGAATTATAGGTGAACGAAAATGAGCGCACACGTGTCGCAGTCAAACATACATAAACAGATGGTGGTGGTGCATTGTTGACGCAAATGATGGTTCATCGTACATGCAAAGAAGGATTATGGGAAGGGGTAGAACATATCTGAGTAAAGTGGCTAGTTGGGCAAGTTGATAAATAGTCCTCTTACGCACACACGAACCCACAGAAATAAGGAAGGAACCGACGACACTAGCGCTATGTCGTCGGTTCCTTTATTATTGTTTTGTGTTAGTGTGTGTGCGCTGTCTCATGAGGAGGAATACACTACAGAGCGTGAAGTGCTTTGTAATATGCGCTCTCTCATGCACATTCCTCCGCTTGCGCTACCAGATGAGGATTTCTATACGTTCAACCACCTACGAATTTTTATTCGGTATAAACATCGTGAACCATTTCAAGAGCTGCGCAGTGTGTCTGACGATATACTTAGAGCACATCATATTCGAAGATGAAACAGCAACACAGGCGCTGTTTTTGTGTCGTATCGGCGTCTTTTCACGACGTACAAATGCACTCATCTCGCATTGCCTAATTATTATGTTATTTTTATAAGCGAAAACTTCATAAACAATTTGATCAAAAAAACTTGCCGTGTACTGAGAATTGTAGCTGAGGAAAGTTTCCAACATTTTTCATTTTGGACGATTAGACGATTTGGACGATTTCATAATATTTTATATTTTTTATATTGGACGATATTAAAATGAAAAAAAAACGTAGAAAGTGAACGTATACGTACGGTGGATATTTGATATGGTTGGCTGATAGTGCGAGGCAGCGAACTCCCGACTCTCGGTGGGATGCGCGCAACGACAGCTGTCGGCCGCCCCGAGGTAAGTCACATGAGACAGCTGCAGCAGTGGGTGCACTCACTCTGTACTGACTAATTGACATGAATGGGTGCGACGAATGCCGGCCGTCAGAATTCCCATGGGATACCTACGACTCGCGCGTACGAAATCCTACAACGCGCACAATATCAGCACAAGAGCAAGCGCACGTTGTCGGTAGACAAGTTATTTCGTTCTTGATGTCTGAAGCTTTGCGGATGACACAAACTGGACTGATGTACAAGGTCTTAGAGGGATCTAGTATGAAATTCCAGAGTCGCAAGAGTGATCTCGGCCAGGTTCGTTCCTAAGAACCAAGGGCGACGGTCGCACACTGCTGGACGGCAATTTTGTTACACACGGCCTATTTTACACGTGGCATCATCCACAACCTATGCCTGGAGTACAGTCGAACCTGGCGACAGCTCATACACAGTAGTGTTAGATCCAGTCGATGGATATCCAGAATAAGGGTGCAGTTTCAGCTAGAAGAGAAGCACCACGTGAAAATGAGGCAAATAAGGTGGGAAAATTAATAGGTCACGGCCAACACAGGAAAATTGCTGCAGCACTTGGTGGAGACAAACAATAATGTAACGGTTGGAGAAAGACGAAAAACGACCAGCGGCTCAACGCGAAATGAGGCGGAGAAGAAAATGTGTGCTCAGAAAGGACGATGGCGAATGAAACGCTACAGTCTCAGCGTTAGAAAAAGTCGCACGAAGTGGTATAATTAAGCGGCACATGAGAAGGCACCGAGCTTACCGGCCTTTGGAATACGCGAACAGTTCACGCGAAATAAAACTTGATAGCAAGTGAAGTGACAATCCAGAGATAAGATAAAACAACGCTCCTCGTTTCTGAGAATCTGTATAGTTGCACAAATCAAATTGCGTACAGGTGGAAACATCGATGTGCTAGACGTTCGTTCGCTCAGCTGCATGACGTCACGGTTTCACGATCCTGTTTCACGATAACCAGCGCTGTGGGACAGTTCATTCTCGCAACGTCGTAACGAAAATGATTGGTGCGCCAAACCTCTCTTTTTGTCATCTGCTTTGCCTTGTTTCTGCTGCAGCTTGCTCTTGTAATATAAAAGGCGCAACATGCATGACAAAAAGTGCATTATCATCATCGTCATCATCATCATCATTATCGTCATCATAATCATCAGCCTGACTACGTCCACTGCAGTACAAAGGCCTCTCTCATGTTTCAGCAGTCAACTCGGTTCTGTGCTTGCTGCTGCCAATTTACACCCGCAAACTTCTTAATCTCATCTGCCCACGTAACCTTCTGTCTCCCCTAACCCGCTTGCCTTCTCTGTGAATTCAGTTAGTTACCCTTAATGACCAGTGGTTATCCTGTCTACTTGCTACATGCCCGGCTTATGTCCATTTCCTCTTCTTGATTTCAACTATGATATCTTTAACCCCCAATTATTCCCTGATCCACTCTGCTTTCTTCTTGTTTCTTCCATTTTCCTTTTCATTGCTCGCTGCGTGGTCCTCAATTTAATCTGAACCCTCATTGTAAGTCTCCAGGTCTCTGCTCTGTAGCTAAGTACCGGCATGTTGCAGCTGGTATATACCTTCCTCTTGAGGGATAGTGGCAATCTACATGTCATGCTATGAGAGTGCTTGCCAAATGTGCTCCACCTCATTCTTATTGTTCTAGTTACTTCACTCTCATGGTTTGGCTCCGCGGTATTACCTGAGTAGACATAGTCTTTTACAACTTCAAGTGCACTTTTACAACTTCAAGTGCAACATATGTCCACAAGGAAAGCAATGCAGGGATGCCTGCTTCGCTCCACTTCTACCTCTTCACGTAGACCAATTCGTGAGCTGAAATTTTACAGTATCCAGCAGTACCTTTAAATATTATATAAAGTGTTCGCTGAAACATTAGTATTCTTCTTATTGTTGCAAACATGTACTCCACTCCCCTCTAAAATGCCAAGCCGCTCGAGTGCATTCGATAGAAATGAATGTATGAATGAATAAATTAAAGTTAAGCACATGTTACACTCACCGAAAACGCTAAGGCCGAAACCTGATTGGCTTTTTCACACGCTTCTTGTCACAGTATAACAATACGGTTAATATATAAGAAATATTTAAAACTGTGTGCCAATCATGTAATCAAACTTGCGCGTTCTCGTTTTCCAAGCGTGTGGTCGTCTTCGTCATTATCATGAGCAACATGACCATGCATATTGTAGAGTACAGACCACTTCCATATTTTTCCAATCCGTCCGGTCTTGGGCTTGCATACTGCGCCCACGTTAATCCCGGAAACTTATCAAATCAAATCAAGGCTTATTTACATCTTGAAACGTTTACGTTCAGATTATGTAATTATTTTATTCCCAATAGCATGGGAATTTCTGTACATTATGCTTTTGTTCTCATTTGTATGCCACTGCTTGTGACCCATTTATTTTTAGGTAGCGGGAGCTAGTCAAGCTGTTTTAATGCAGCTTTTACTCCCGCCATCCTTCATGTTGTACCAGACATGAAAATAAAGATTCAATTCAATTCAATTCAATTCAAAGATGTGGGCAAGCTTTGGCGAAAAGCGAAACGATTGGCTTGAAGA